GGACTGCCAGGGGACACCCGGAGCTGCGCTGAGCCTGCCCGACCCCGCAGGTCGCCTGTCTGGGGGTGGAAGTATCGAGTCGCAGGATGCCTTGGGTTGGAAGGGACCTTAAAGATCATCTAGTTCCAACCCGCAGCCGTGGCTAGGGTCAGTTCCCACTGGACCATCCCCTGGCTTGCTTATTTATTTATTTATTTATTTATTTATTTATTTATGCTGTTTTGTGCTCACCGCAGCACAAGTCCTTGTGGACTAAATCTGGGGGCAGCTCCTGGAGATGCTGGCCGCAGTTACCCGTGTGTGTGTGTGTGTGTGTGTGTGTGTGTGTGTGTGTGCTCTGCGTGGCACCGACCTGCGAGCTGGCGCAGTGCTGCTTTGCTCGGGGACGTGCTGTGCTTTTGCCAGTAAATAAGCTTTTCAGTTAAGTAACAGCATTAATTATGGGCCTCTGTGCATACCTGGAAGTAGGGATGTCTCAGGGAAACTTGGGCTTTCGTAATTTAGAACGCTCTAGAAGTACTTGTCGTAACACGGTAATACCTCGTCTTGAAGCGTGTTTTTCACCCTGTCAAGCAGATGTGCCTGACATAAACTTATGTCAGCAGAGCAGGATATTTTAGTAAAGGGAACCTGACAGCTGCTTCTAAATATGCTAGATGTTTCCTACTGAGGATAAGCTGACTAGAGAGTAACAGCCCTGACCTGACTTTATAGCCTTATTTATTCCTGAAAATGCTCCTTGTTAGCCAAAATGCGTGCTTTTAGAATGCTGTCCCTTACTTTGCTCGGACGGCATTTAAAGTAACACTTTTCTAGGCACTGCTATATATTCACAAACTGTTACTTTGTTTTCTGCAGGGGAGACTACCTGCGATGCTGCAGGTTCTGTTACCCTTTATGTGCATTTGTCATTCTTGCTGCTTGTGTGGTCGCATGTGTTGGCTTAGTCTGGATGCAGGTGGCTCTCAAGGAGGATTTGGATGCAATAAAGGAGAAGTTTCGAACCAGTAAGTATGAACATTACTATTTCACATTTAATTTGGGCAGTATGAAGAGCTTTAGTTGCTTGCCTGCACAGTCAAAGTCTGAAAATACTGAGTAGACAAATAACATCGGAATTGAGGAGTGCTCTGAGCCAAGAAAACAGACTTAGTGAATCTAAGGTGAATGTTATATATTCTTTCCTGCTCTGTATCTTCTGAGGAGCAGAGACACTGGACTGGGTGGGCCTGTAGTTGCTTGTATATGTATTTCTAAAATTCCTGACTTTGGTCTTCAGAATGCTTTCTTCCAAAGAAAGACCCTATTTAAAAAGTTCTCATCAGACCTGTCAAAACAGTCTAGGAAATTCTGGGGAAAAAAAAAAAAGAAGAAAAACTGTGTTGTTGTCTTGAACTCTTTTAAAACCTCTGATGTTTGCTGTGGAATTACTGAAATTTGAATGTTGCTTCACTACTATATTTTCTCTCTGTATCCTCTGAGTGTTTATCTTGCTTGCACTGACTCACTGGCCTGTTCTTGTTCAACATTTTTACATTGGGTTACGTGTGGTGTAGAGTTAATGTTTAATACTTTGAAGTGTGGAGTTCAGATGAAGTGTTTTGCTTGTAAAGCTCAGGTTTTCTCTGTCCATGTCAAGATTCCCATGCCAGAATTTTCAATGTAGTAACTTCTGTAGGCTGAGGTATAACAAATGGTGATATGTGCATGGTAAGGTACTCTGTACCTACCTCTAGGCACAAGATGGGTTTTGGTGCCTTATGTTAGTAGTGTTTAGAATCCTGTATAGATTGAAAAAGTTAAGCAAAGGTGTTGTCTTGATTGTGGTGAAAGAGGCATTGAGGGAGAGTGTGTAGAAATTCTTTGCTGTTGCTGTTTGTGTTCCTGTTCAGGTGTGTGAGGTGGGGAGTTGTCTGTCAAGGTGGAACAGGCTGGCTGGGTGTGAGAGAATTGCTGATAGATGTGCTTTTGTATTAACTGATGTTGAACTCTAAAAGTTGCTGTCCACCAGTTCTGGAGAATACCTTCAGTTCCAGGTGCTGCTTTGTGAGTGTTCCCAGCAGCTCTGGAGTGGTTGTTTCAGTGTTCTGGGTCAGCAGCTGCTGCTCTTTGTGGACTGCTCCTCTTTAAGGGTGTGCTGGTGGTAAAAGTTTTGCATGAGGACAGCGTTTGTTTGCTTTGGTGTAGTTAAGTTTCATCATTCCTGTTCAACACAGGCCTCTTTATTAAAGCAGCTGTTCTCCCTGAGTGTATTCTCCCTGTCTGGCAATTACAGATGGGCTTGTTTTCTTCTTAATAGCTCTGACAGAAAAGCTGTGTGTTTAATGCTTTGCCTGGTGATAAACGTGTCACGTTTCCTTGCTATCATAATACCTTGCCTAGGAGTTGGATAGGAGCCTCACAAAGAGGCACAGCATTTAAATACAACAACACAAAAAACAGGCAGCAATAACAACCTGGTTCCCAAACCAGGTAATGTTTTGCCTTGGTGAAATGTGTGGGTGAGCAGAGAAACAAAGGCAGGTGACCCATCTGTCGTACAGCAAGTTTGGAAAAAGAACCTTTCTCTGAATCTTCATCCAGACTTTTTTCCCCATCAGAGCAGATGTTTGTGGCAGTATTTGATATATTCTGCCATCCTTTGCACAAAGTGAGTGTGGCATGAGTGCTTTTTATAAACAAGACATCTTTGTATCAGGTGTGTTTGGAAAAGGAGGAAGTCATGTAGTGTCTTCCCTTTGATTGTCAGCAATGATGCTAAGAACACATGTGGCATTTAACCTTCCTAGTGCTGCAGAAAACTCTTCAAGTGGAGTCCCACTGTTCACAGTTAGGGTGGCAGAATAGAAAATAATTCGTCTACAAGAGCCTATGAAAACATGAGATTCAGTGTGAGATGCTTTTGTCAAATGCACAAATTAGTTCTCAGTCTGGGCTAAAATACATCTTTTGAGGTCTTACCCAGAAGTGTTGTTTGGACCTTGGGTCATCCAGGGCAGATTTCTTTGCACCTAGAAAGTTCTTTTAGAACTTGCTTAAAGAGAAGTGAGGTAGGTTTCTGAATATGCACAGCTTTCCAGTTTTGTGTGTTTGGGCATCCACTCCACAGGCTTCTCTTTTTGACTGGATTGATCACACATGGAATTTTTTTCTGGGATCTGCCAGCTGCACATCACACAGGTGCCTCTGCTCTTGGCAGTCTGGTTGGAGCGATGGCTGTTTGTTGTGGAGCTTTCCAGTGCTGCCTTACAGGGTGGACATGCAGGTTTTGGAGAACTCTCTCATCTTCATCTCAAAACCTTTGCTTATTTGTTTCTCACACCTAGGGATTTAGGATTGCCTCACAGTACAGCTAAACAGCTTAGTCACTGCAGATCTGGAAGAGCTGCATTTCTCAGGCTCACTGGAATTGCTTTGTGCTGCATGTTTCCCCCTTCCTGTAGTATTAATTGCAGTAATAACTGACTTAATTTGCAAGGACCTTGTTTACTGATTTGTTTACCAACAGCCATTAGTGTATAAGCTTATACATTATTTTTTCAGTTGTCTTTCTGTCACACAGAGCAATTAATTACATTAATCTCCTTGGAATTCACTTCAGCTCCACTGCAGGCTTGAAAAGGGCACTGAGGTTCATTTCATCTGCCTCCTTTACCCTGGGACTATTGGCAACTCTTGTTCACAGGCCCGTTACTATTTCATGTTCCTCTGTGGAGGTAATGCAAAATAACTGCACTAAATAAAGACCTACTGAGGTTTGCCAGAATGACAGGACTAAGCAAAGTGTTAAATTTAGTACAGTCTCTCTGGGTTCTCTCTGCAGATATTGGTACTCTTAAAACAAAAATAGAGCTGTCATTCTGAGCAAACACTGAATCCAGACTGGCAATAAACCCATATGTAGAAACTGTAATTGTCTTTTTTGACTGTTGTAGATGTTGCTGTTTGTAATTTGTTTTATGCCCTTTAATGTTGTTTACGTGGATTTTTGTTTTGGTTTGCTTGTAATTATTTTTTCATTTTTTTAGTGGAATCTAATCAAAAGACATCATTCCAAGAAATTCCTAAACTGAATGAAGATTTGGTGCAGAACCAAAAGCAGCTAGAGCAAATTGAGACTGGAGAACTGGGGCTGAGTAAAATTTGGATAAATATCACAGAGATCAATAAACAGGTGAGAGGGGATCAGTCCTCAGTTTTGAAAAATAATAAAATATTCCGTTCCATTATTTTTTAGGGAAATTAATTTTATCTAAGGGCTTCTGTTACAATATATGTAGCTTTTATTTTTCAAGTTCAACTAGAGTATAAACTTCATTGTAAACAAGTGAAAAACAGCTTGAGCTCCAGCTGGGCTGGAGACTGATCACAAGAGGAGAAATTGCATAACTGATGGAGGTCAGGCAGAATTTAAAAGAACCTGAGAACTGTGCAGTTCTTAATTTTCCTGCCAAATATTTTTGATGTTTATGATGGGAGATTTTGACATTTCAAATTTCTGAGAGCATTTTGTAAGTGTGGAAAAGAGTTACCTGACTCAGAACGAGCTCCTGTTGCTACAAACTAAGGCCTGGTGTCCTGTGAATATAAAACCTGATAACACACTCAGCCTCTGAGCTGGTGTAAATCTTGGCACTGTCATGGGGCTAGAGCCAAGCCACTTACCAGAGAGCTCTTTGCTCAGCTGCCCTATTAACTCACACTTCAAATAAAGCATCCAGCAAGGCTTTTACTGAAATTTCTCCCCTGGAGGGTAAAAGTTCAGAGCTGCTCATAGTGAATGTCAAGAGGTGTGTGGGGTAACTCCTCTTGACCCAGGTACTCTGGTTTAATTTGTTAGAGTACTGAGGTGCCTGCTTAGATTGATTTTTTTCTTCAGTCCCATGTGGTGGTTAAGTGCTTACTCGGAGCACATCTGAAAATTTGATTTGCTCCCTTTAGTATCTCACTGTTTTAGACACAGTTATTCAGGCTTTTCATGAGAATTTTAAAATGCTCTTATCTGCACCTGGCTGTTAAAGATACTTGCACGTGGTTCTTGCAGGCTCTCAGGTTACTTCAGGGTCTGGTTACAGTCTGAGCCAAATCTTCCAGAAATCAAAATTTTCTTGCTCTTTTTTTTTTTATCTGTGAATTGTTGGGATGAGCTGCTGGGAATAATCTCAGCCAGTGTTCACAGCTGTGAGCTAGAGAGCCTGCATGCCAGCTGATTAACATTGACCTAATGTAAAATTAGGATCTTTTCCTCAACTTGCAAAACAACTTTATTTTTTTAACCAGAAGAAAGTGAATTTTAGTCTCTGTTCCACTTGTGCTGCAGAGGTTTTGGATGATAAGCGCAACTTCTTTGCCCATCACTCAGCTGGAGAGGTTGCATGGCTTTGCTGGGTTTTACCAAGCAGGTTTTGTTGTTAAATATGAAAGTGGGTGATGGTTTTCTCTATGTGAAGACTTCTTGCACAATTTTTGAAGCCTTTCTCGGGCAACAGCCTCTCTCTAAGAGGATGAATGTAAAACTGGCAGACAGTACTTACTGAAAAGAAGGGTTTTCTGTGGTTTTCATTTGCTTTTAAAAAACAGTTAAATGAAAACTTGCTCTTTTACAAGAGGCAGAATATTTTTAATGTAGCCTAGGCAGGACTTCTAACCTAGAGATAGGAGTGTTTTTTGTGTGTACATGTATAATTTTGTATCACCTTATGTTTTAATGTTGCACATTAAGCCATCAGTATCGGGGGAGGTCAGAATCAGGATTATGTTGCCTAATTCTAAGTACTCCTTTTTGGTTTTAGATATCAGTATTGACCTCAACAGTAAATCATCTCAAAAACAATATAAAATCTGCTGCTGACCTGATTTCTCTTCCCCTCACAGTAGAGAAACTTCAGAAGGTAAGTACTGTAAATGTGGCTATCACTAAATGTGCTCTGTGTGTTAAGCTGCAGCTGGGCTCCTGGGGACAGCGCTGACAGCAGGAGCTACCTGAGTTGCAAGGAATATTTGCTTCTCTTGTCTTTAAAATTTGACTTCATAAATTGTATAGTCCTGTGATAATGTGTAACAGGTCAAAAAATTAAAGGGCTTGTTTATCCCTCTTGGACATGCATTTGTTTGTATTTTGCTGTCCCATATTGGAGCTGATCTTTCTGGTTACTTTTCTTCAAGTTGCTAATCTTAATATCATGTGAGACACTTGGAAAAATGTCTGCAGTTTTATAATGGCATGCAAATAGGTGGTTTGTTTAGCTTTTTTAATTGGAAAAGGAAATTTATTGCTTTCTGTTAATACCATGTCTTACTGTGTGCCTTACTGAGCATTCTTCACCAAAGAACTGTCCTGTTTATTTTGGTTAAAAGAATGGCTTGTTGAAACTTGCCTAGCTTTTCCACGGCAGATCTGTTTATTTAGCATTAAACATTTATGTTGGGCTAATGCCTAATGTTAGTCCAGTCTTTGTGGCATTATGGCTTTCCTCATCTCATTTCCTATCCCTAGAAAATGAATGTATAATCAACAAGCTAGTGATAGGCAAAGCAGTGAGTGTGGTTTGGCTGATGGGGCTGCCAGGATTTCTTTTTCTGGGAAGAGTACAAAGCTGTTTCCTAAGCTCCTTATTTGCTGCTACAAGCAGGCTGGATTTGCACTGTCAGAAGCAAGTCAGAAGGCATGTTGTTATCAGGAGTGGGACCAGGGCAGTGATTGTCCCCCTGTACCGGGCACTGGTGAGGCCACACCTCAAATCCTGTGTCCAGTTCTGGGCCCCTCAGTTCAGGAAGGACATTGAGGGGCTGCAGTGTCCAGAGAAGGGCAGTGGAGGTGGGGAAGGGTCTGGAACACAAGTCTGAGGAGGAGCAGCTGAGGTTGTTCAACCTGGAGAAGAGGAGACTCAGGGGGGACCTTACCACTCTCTACAACTCCCTGAAAGGAGGCTGTAGTCAGGTGGGGGGTCAGGCTGTTCTCTCGAGTGACAAGTGGTAGGACAAGAGGAAATAACTTAAAACTGTGCCTGTGAAGGTTTAGATTGGATAATACAAAAAATTCCTTCACTAAATGGCTTGTCAAACAGTGGAGCAGCTTGCACAGGGAGCTGTTGGAGTTGCCATCCCTGGAGGTTTTTAAAGGATGTGTTAAAGCTTGGGGACATGGATTAATGGTGGACTTGGCAGTGCTGAGTTAATAGCTGGACTCAGTCTTAGAGGTTCTTGCCAACCTGAGTGAGTGATCCTATGACAAGGCTGAGTTTCTTATGTGGGATTTGGTTTTCTTGAGCCTTTTTCCTTGCAGGTACCATTTCTGGAAATAAGGATGCCTGCTGGCTTTAATATCCTGAAGGATTACTGAGGGAATTCCTCTTGGGTAGTGGCTTTTGTTCCTGCTGCTGAAGGGTGCTGAAGGTGTCCTGAGGTCCTCCAGGGCACAGGTTGCTTTGGGTGTAGTTTGCAGTTTTGAATGCAAAAAAACTTGCAAATTCTTCAAACTCGTGTGCATGATTTTGCAGGTGAGTTTGAAGAATTTAGTTAGTGAAACTGCAGTCTGCCTGCAGTTTCTGTAGCAAAACGTTGTGTTTAGCTGACTGGTACTTTGGGACAGTGCAGTTTTAGGAAGGCTGAGATTCCTGTCATCTTTTTTATTGCAGACTGTGGCCAACATAGGTAGCACCCTCACCAGTGTGGCTCATGATGTTGAAAATATACAGACAGCTATTGAGGAATACAAGAAATCCATAGAAATACTCCAGAATGATGTGGTAAGAAAAATGCACTGCTTAAACACTGCCTAATATGAAGCAAGTTAAAGAAATGCTTGGAGTTCTGTCTTTTACCTTTGAAATACTTCTGAGGTTTCACTAGGTTGGTACATTAATTAGTTAATTTTCTAATCTCTGTGAGATTTCTGTATGGTATCAAGTGCTTGTTTCTCTGGAGCCAGAATTGTTCCTTTCTACACTTCCTATCCTGCATATTTTTGCTTCCTATTCCACAGATATAGGGGCTTGGGAAATGCTCCTGTGAGATGCAGGGTACTGCTTATGGTAACTGTCTGCACTGTTTTAGGTTTGGGGATGTCAGAAAATTGATATAAGTTTTTGGTTGAATTAGGAATATATGTAAGGATGAAATTACTGACTGTCTTCAGCAGAAACTACTCACTGTATTTATCCTGACCTCTCACTTGATGTTAACAAACTGAGCCAATAATTAGAGTTTTTCAGCTAAACTACTGTACCAGAATTCTTGCAGACAAAATCTAAATTAGACATATAATAAAGCTTGATTCAGTCAGTGGGTGCTCTAAAAACATTGCAGATATGGCAGTGTGTATGGTAGCAGTGAAATGTGTATCATAATACTTCATTAAATGGAGATGAGTTAATTAGGAGGGTTTAATGAAAATAAATTTGGACCTTATGTGTTTGAGAGAGAAAACTATTAGCCTTGTAAAAATACTGCATGTACAGCAGACCTGAGTGACTGTAATTGTAGCAAAACACCCTCAGCTACAGTCTGCCACTTATTCACAGGGATTTTATAACACAATTTTCTACTTCTTTCCTTAGAAGGAATTAAAACAGCTGCCTTCACTTCCCTCCACTGCTGTGCCAAGGACTGAGGGAAATCAGACAGAATACTGCAAAAAGGTATTTTTCTCCCTTGCATAAGTAATTTTGGTACGAGTGTCATGTAACTTACCTGTGTGTTTTGCAGTACTGTAGTGTGAAAAATTTGGTTTTTATCAAGGCAATGCAGATAGCATGCTTTAAACCAGATCATAAGGTAATTGTGCTGTAGTTCCTGTGTATGTGCAAACAGGAAAGTACCCTGGTCTGAGAGTGGATTTTTTTTTGGATTCTGACTGGGTGAGGAGTAAAAAAGACTGAAACCAATATCTGACAAATTATAGGTGTGCTTTGCTAAAGTAAATGAAAACAAGTTAAAGGCTTTTAGTGGAGTGAATTTTATGACAGGTACTTGCTAATCTGAGCAAACTCGGGAGTGGCATGTACTGAGTCACCCTCACTGTAGTGAGGTGTGGAAAGCAGTCATTCAGCAACAACAGCAAAAAACAAACGCTTAATGTGTAGGTGTTTAGCAGAATGGGTTGGAGCTGAATGACTGCTCTTACTTACATTTAATACAGTCAATATCTTCCTGGAAAATGAATCCTGCATATAAATATGCCCAGTATGCGCTTTCTTGGGAAAAACCATTGTTGTGCTTACAAAGCTTGACCTGGAAAATGAGATGAATAGGCTTTCTGTGTTCACTGCACAGCTGAAATGATTGTATTAGCAACAAAGAGGTTAGCCCTGGGGAAGAATCTCAGTTTCAAACTTTTAGAAAGTTGGAATAACTTTCTGGAAGCTTCCAGTTGGATGTTTTTAGTGGTGTTATGGAGAGGCAGCCTGAAGTCTGCACAGTTAAACTGGGTCAGTCGTGTTGTTAATAGCAGGAGTCACTGCAGAGGTTGGGTAAACTGACACGTGCTCTGTTTATATTTCAGGAAAGCCAGGCACTTCATGCAGCTTTGGAGCAGCTAAATAATACTGTAGTGGTGTACCAAAAGTTGAATGACATCAAGCTTCTAAATGTGGATGCAGCCATTGGCAACCTCAGCCGGAAAGTTACACTCTTGGAAAACTCTCCCCTGGTTGTGAAAAATCTGGACAGAAGAGAGAACTCGTCTACCATGGTGGTAAGTGATGGCTCAGGGTGTCTACTCAGGCTACTCCTTCCCTTACACTGCAGATACAGCTTTTCAGACCTAACTAAAGAAAACGTCAGAGTGAAATTTGAGGTACTTTGGAATTAATTTATAAAAGGCTGGAATTTGTTCCTTAACAGATAAACCAGCATTAAGAGTGTCTTAGAAGCAATATTTCATTTCTCTTCTGCAGTTTCTACAGGAAAGTGTCCAAACCAGTGTGACATTTAAGAGTTGGGTGGGTGCTTTATGAGGCAGGATTCACAAACTGAGCTATGTTTTTGGAATCACTCTGGCATAGATCTCTTAAGACCCAGTGAGGAGCTAAGTGGGAGTCTGCATTTGTTTAACAATGGTAAAATTAAAAAAAACGCCAATAATAAAAAAAACCCTCAAATACCTCAAAGTCAGTCAAAAATGCTGACTTATTTTAAATTACTACCTTTTCTAATCTTCTACATCTACTGAAGGGGTGCATTTTAAGATTCTTTTTTTTCTCTACATGTGCAGGAAGCGGGAACTAGAGATTCTCAGGTATCAAAACTAAAAGAGACTCTTCAGATGATCAGTGCTCTCACAAGCAAGTCAGAAAATGACATACCCATTGAGGCACAAAAGAATGGTAAGAATGTCTGGTAACAGTAATCATAAACCTGGAGGTTCCCTGTGTAATTCAAAAAATACAAAAGTAAGGTGGATAATTAGACTCTTCCTTAAGATTTTGATGAAGGTATTTTTAGTTAAAGTGGTAGGAAACTGATGTTGCTAAAACAGAAAACTGTGTATGACTGCCAAAGTTTGAAGGTGACTTAAAATACGTGTGGAAGGATTCATGTGGATCAATAGTTGGTGTTTGAAGGCAGGCAGTGATGAACTGTAGAGCTTTATACCAAATAAAGTCTGGTTTTACCTTTTCAAAATGTAACTGTAACAGACAGGAAAGGTCTCTGCCAACTTCAGGTCTGCACTTCTGTTGAACCTCAGATTTTTAAATAGTTCATTACAATAGAACTATGCTATGCTCTATTACAATAGAACTGTAAGCACCTGCTTGTTCATTCCAAGCAGGTGCTTGGAAATTTAGACCTTGCTGTTGGGGAATATTGGTATTGATAAGGTGAAAGCAACTCAGGTGGGCAGATGTAACTTACTTAATGAAGCTTCTTCAGCACTCTCAGAGTGGGGAGCAGAAAACACTCCTAAGTCATTGTTTGTGTGGGAGTTTATAAATACACACCTCCTAATACAGAATGGAAGATTAAAGCTGTTTAACGTGACTGTCCCAAAACTGTTCTTTCAATTAAAGTAAAAAGGGACAACACTGCTACATTCTGAAATATTGCAGCATTCTTATTACAGCTACTGTGATAAAAAATAAATCAGTTATATTGTATTTTTGTTCGGTTTTGCTAGCTATAATTCTGTGGAATTAGTAAGACTAATAGAAATTGTTTTGTAGCAGTTGAAAATAGTCAGAGTACTACAGCAAAGCCCACAGACCTTTCAAGGGTGGCTTCAAGGTCAGCTGATGACAACACAGAGAGAAACGGGCAGCTGAGCCATCTGTCCTTACCAGGAATTTCCAGCATTGAAGGTATGTCCTTTTTAGGCTGACCTTTTCTTCTGAGTATTTCATGTAAATGTTCAGGAGAGGATAAATATAAACATTCTGGGAGTTGTGAGGTCAGTTTTAAAATCTTGAAAACTATGGGTTTAAAAAAAAAAAAGAAAAGAAACTGAAAGGAAATAATAGCATGTAAAAGAAACTGAGAGTTAAGCAGGAGTGTGCATTATTAGTGAATTATAATTGTTTTGAAAGTATTATATCGAGTGCCTCAGAGACAGGGAGAGAAGTCAAGGGCAGAATTAACATGCTGAAGGAAAAAGAAGTAGCTATGAGTGTGTATTTTCTGGGGCTTTTTTCTGCTCTGCATTTTTTTTTTCCAAGAGAACGCTGCCTGGTCAGATGAATGGTTTCTGGATCTTGCTGTTCAGTCTCTTCAGCTCCTGAAAGGGCAACTCTTAGCATCAGGAAGTGAATAGACACTTTTCCCTTTATATCATCTGTCCCGTTGGTATAGCAACAGTCATTCAGAGCTTTCTTTTGTGGGGTATAACTGCATCTGTATGCAGTTAGCTGTTGTAAAATGGGCTGCTAGCTGTAGCCAGAAATAGGGATTAATTTCTTCAGATTTAATGTAATTTAATCCAGGAATGTTCATGCTTTTTTTTCTACTAAACTGTTACCAGCAGCTTGAGACAAAACAGGAGGCAAACACTCACTCAGGGATGCTGTATGTAATTAGGGGGTACTAAGAGACAGTGCTATAAAACTGGGAAAGCAGCTCATAGGATATTCCCGTGTACTTAAAGGAGCTGATTCTTAATCCTTGTTCTCTTTGCAGATCTTCAGAAACTTTTTGAAAAAGCAGATGCTGATGGAAAACTCTCACACAAAGCTCTTCAAAAGCTGTTTGGCTCCACAGCCCAAGAATCCCAGAGCTTTAAGGAGTTTGACACAGATGGAGATGAGAAATACACACTAAAAGAACTGAGATTAGCATTAGGTGTATAGGATATACATTTAGAAATGTGATATTGGTGGATGTTATTGTAGCTAAAGGAAGCTACAGGACATAAAATTACAGCTGCACTTTCAGTGTTTTACTGATCTTTGGAGCTAAATTACTGTACACATTGCCACCTCTTTTTTCAGTTGCATTTATTGAAAAGTAATTTACAAATTTATATGTCGATAGGACATAATATTGGGACTTTGTTAAAATCCAGAAAATTCCCAAACTTGGAAACATTTTCCTCTCATTATTTCCTTTTCAAGGAAGTTATTGGTTATAATTTAAAATGTGTACATACTAAAATAAAACTATGGTTTTATATTTCACTGAAATTTGCCTTAAATTAGAGAGCTGCACTTTATGTAGAGCAGAAGAAAAATCTGTCTTATGAAGATGGGCTGCTTCTGCTTGTAAATATGAGATAGAGTAAATTATGCATATTTAAGGAGAAGTTGTGTCAGGGGCTGTGTTGGTAGTTAGCAGTTTATAATGAGAGGCTGAGCCTGGAATGGGAGTTTAAGAGCTTCAGCTAAATTTCTGATTTTTACTAAGAATATCAGTGAATAAATTTGGCCTCAGTCAGAAGAAGGCAGGAGGGGTAAGTCATGCCCATCTATAGCAGGATGTATTTTTAAAGGGAAGAGTTGAAAGTGTTTTTATATCATGAGCCTACAGGAGCAATTAACTTGCCAAGTGCTTGGGTTTTCACTTCAGCATTCTTTAGGCTTTGCTGTATTGCATTCAGATTATATTTTGTGAGATGAGCCTGTCTATTTATTTTTTTTAAATGAACATATTGAATAGCTTTAATAGATGCTTAAGAGGTAAAAGCCTACAGTGCAGCCTGCTGAGCAGCACCTGAGCAGTTCCTGCCTCAGCAGTGCTCTGATACACTCCAGGAGTGTGAGCAGGTGGGAAGGCCCAGAGAAGACTTGTGAGCTCTTTCCTGGCTATTGTGACCGTAATCCCTTCTTGGTACCTTTATTTTTTGTCTTCTTGCCAACAGAAGGATGTAAAAAGCTGTGTAGACATGTGCAATGGCATCATCATTCTGTACTGACACATGGTTTGTAAGTGAGGTTTCCTTACTAGAGGAACTTAAAGATCTGTTCATAGTAGTGGATCTAAACACAGAGTATATTTATTACCTTCTGGAACATAGAAAAATTATTTTTGCAGAGGGGATTCTCTCTTGCAGACTAGATCAGGGCCAAGTTTGGTAATTTTGCTCACAAATATCACTGATCTTGTTATGAGTTTCTTGCATGATTAGTGAGTTGAAGTTGCCTACCTTGCTGAAACATCAGCTTACAAGGAAGTCCGTTCATAATTGTTGATTTTTATATAACTTTAGACTGGATGTTTTATCAGTAATTGTATTTTGGAAGTATGAATCAGCAAAGGAATGTACAAAATGGAGCTCTGTTGCCCATTTCCTAGGCTTCTTTCACTGTCGCTCTTCTATCCTGTTTGGGTAATGCAGATGCCACCCAGTACCAAAATGCTTTTGATGTGACATTTGAAAATGCCGTATTTAAAAACAAAACAAAACCAACAAACCTTGGCTTTAGAGAGGACGAGAAGCCAACCCTTGCTTCTTGCCACTTCCCATACCCTTTTATACACTACTGTATAATTCCTTAACCAAATAAAGAAAAAAAGCAATAAAATGTAACCATTCTGGTATTTTATTTGTACATATTGTATCATAGTCATACGCCAGAGTTTGCAAAATATTTTTGGAAGTTTATTTGTATGAAATTTAATGTCACCTTAAAATTTAAAATATTATAGTACCGCCTTGTGAATCTTCTATTGTTTTGTTTTGTTGTAGTCTGCTTTACTTTTAGAAGGCTCTTCAGCTGCAGTAGTGAAAATGCCGGCTAGACCTGATGTGTGCTGTTGCACGGCTGTGCCCAGGGAGCTCAGCTGGTCATTGCTGGGACACGGCTGCCCAGGGCTGCTTTTTAACTTGCATGTCGATGGCCAATTGCTGTGGTCACCTGTAGGATGGGCTTGTGCTGTCAACTAGCCAAAATTCGAATATCCCCAGGTACAGCGGTCTCTTCTGTGCTGCAGGCTGGGAGCACCGGTCCCATCCCCGCGAGGTCTCTGCTGTGCCACCGCACATCTGCACCCCGCGTCCAGCCCTGACGCCAGGTGTGGGCAGGGTTCCTCCCCTGTGACCATTCACAGTGCAGATGAAAAGCCGTGAGTGTAGTAAATCCACTCGTCCGGATCACCTCCGTGCCCTGACTCGTGCGGTACCAGAGGGGGCGGCTGGATGCTCTGGGCACGAGTCCTTGAGAAAAAGGCGGTATCTGAAATAAACAGCAATGAAGTTGTGAGAGCAAACTGTAACGGGAAAAGAGCTATACGGTGCTGTGCCGTGGCTCCTGGGTTCGCTTTCGGGCTGTACCTGTGGGTTTGGGTGACCATTGTACCTCCCCTGCGGTTACCGGCCTGCGCCGGGAGCGGGGCCGTGCCCACCGCGCTTGTTCGCTCCGCGGCGCTCCACCATGTAACGTGACTTTTGTCTCAATAAAAGCTCCTTTCCAGCGTGCGGCTCCGGCAGGTTCCTGGCGGGGCAGGTGGAACAGGGCGGGCCGAGCTGAGGGGAGCNTCCGGCCGCTCGGGCTGCTGGCACCGCCGGCACGGGGAATGCTGGCACCGCCGGCACGGGGCGTGCAGGGGCCGGGAGCGGGAGGGGGAGAGGCAGCGCTGGAGGAGAACCCCTTCTACGGGAAGTACCGGCACAAGATCCAGGAGCTGCGGAGGTGGGCCCCGAGGGAAGCGGCAGCGGGACGGGGCTGGGCGGGCGGTGTTTTGCGGAAACAAAAACCTCCTGGGGGGCTCTTTCTTGAAAGAGAGATGTTCTATTTTAGCTTTTCTCTTCCATGACCATGATTAGTTTAGGCCGATTGCCTTGAAATTCACATGTAGTTGACACCAGGTCAGTGAGAGTCGTCTGCCAACGTGGTCAGCTTGATAAGAGATAGTTTTGCGAAGATTAAGTTAAAAGTTTAAGAACATGAATCAATATCATAGTAAACATTTTAAAAGGCCAAATGATGTTAATCACCCAACACTGCTCTCCACGTTTGTAAACCTTTGGAACAGGCAAAGAGTATTTCAGCTTTGGAAACCATTGGAGCAAATAAAGAGTATTCCAACTTTTAGTCTTCCATCGTATTATAAAAGAGAATTTGAACAGAAAATGAGTAAGCAGAAGTTGGTCTTATTTCAGGTGCAAGTCTATCTGCTGGCAAGGTCACAATCAGAACAGCCCATAGAAGAATCATGGTTTTGAATTTTCCTGATAAAGATGGATTACCTTACTTAGCAATATGAATCAGTGAAGCAAAGGACTTCACTGACTCACAGAACCATGAAATCGCTTGGGTTGGAAAGCAACTTAGAGATCAACCACTGCCAATCCTCCTGCCATGGGCAGGAACAACTTCCACTAGGACAGGTTGCTCAGGGCCCCATCCAACCTGGTCTTGTTGGAATCTAGTGCCAAAAACAAATCCAGAACCTTGGGTCACAGGAGATATTGTACAACAGCGTTCACAGTTTCTAAATCATACATTGATTTTTCTTGTTTTTTGTCATAATTAAAAACTTAAGATTATTTAAAAGCAGTCTGGAATGTTTTAGTTATATGAATTTATGTCCAGTTGGACAAGGAACAGGGAGTTGGACTTGGGTGATCCTTATGGGTCCCTTTCAACTCGAGCTGTTCTATTCCTCTGTTGTACTGTTAACAGTCCCTGTTCCAATTCAGGTCCAGTCCAGATGTGTTTGAATCCCGTATGGAAAAAAGAAGTGAAATGAAAAAGCAGCCTGTGGGACATTCCAAACAAGGAGAGTTTATCAGATGCATGGAGGAAAAGGCAAGGCAAATTTTCTTTGTAAATGACATACATTGAAGCTATAATGTTATTTTTATGGGATCAATGTAATATTACAAACTTGAAGTATCCCTATCAGTAGGAGCTCTGAAATTTCACTGTGTGATGGCTAAAAGCATTGTTCTGTACTCCTCTGTATTTTTTTGACTGTAATTCCCTGGAAATTCCCTGCTTGAAACCTTGTTTAAGTTTAATTAGTTCCAGAGTAGTTTGGCCAGAGGAGTGACACAATCTTGCATTTCTCATTTTTTAGTGAATGCAAGAAAACTGTTCAATAATACTGGATCCAAAATGCATAATAGTTTCCTTTTGACTAATCCTTCCTGGCCTTGAAATTCATAGTTCACATTAAATTGGTAATCTTACTTATTTTACCTAGTCAATCACTTATTTTATTAAAAATACACTGCACATAAATATCTGCATATAAATATCTAAATATTCATAATATAAATATATGTATCTAAATATATCTGCATATAAATATCTAAATATCACATCACTCAAAGATCTTGTGCTCTCAGGAGTTTTTGTCAGCAGTCAGGTTTTATGTGGCAGGGAAGGCAAATCAATGGTATTAAAGAATTAGCTGTAAAACTAAAGAAGAATGTTTTTTTTGCAGGCAGAAGGCTTGGGCAGCAAGACATCAAAGGGAGGATTCACAAAGGAGAAGGTAAGGGAAATGAGCCCAAGTGTTAGGAGGGGACATGGGGGCAAGGCAAGGGTGTGGATTAACTTGTATTGCCCCAGTCAATGTTTCAGTCAGGAACACTTTGATATAAACCTGGTGTTTCTTATGCTGCATTTGGGTGTAAGATCTTGGTTTACTGTTGGGATCCCGTTCAGCCTTAAAACTCCTGGCACTCTGGGTTTTTATTATCCTGTCCTTTCTCTGTGACACTCTGGAAATTCCTTCCAGTTGGGACATCTGTTCTGAATGTGAAATGGAAAAGGTTAAGCTCATTTTACAGCATGGAAATATATTTGCAGTGATCAGCCAGCCTGGAGACAAGAGAATTCTATTTCACATTCATTTATTTTGGTTAATCTTCAGTGTACATCTACCAAAAAGCACATCTTTGAGATGGCAGAAGGCAGAAGCCTGCAGCTCCTTGTGCAGCTTCTGTAGAGGTCTGCACAACTGGAGCAAACCATGTGCTGTGTCTTGAAAGAATCTATTCTGCCTCAGTGTGTGAATCCACTTCTCAGTGTGTTGCTGCTATGTTTTATTTGGCAATTAAAGGGACTAAGTAACACTGTAAATTCAATCAAGTTTTTCTAGGTTGATTTTCTTCCTCTGTGATTGCATCCATCTATTCTGGATTCCTACAAGGTCAGAGAACTGCCGTCATGCCAGATTCTTTATGCTTTCTCTTGCAGACACTTGATTCAATTCTTAATGTTGAGATGGTGAAAGAAAAATCAGCAGAGGAGATAACACAGGTGATGGATTTAAATGGAATAAACTTTGCTTCACATCTGTGCTTAAGAGTAATCTACGTGTAAGGATGGAAATTTTACTTAGACTGAAAAATAAAACACATTTATGGATGTATATCTACAAAAAGCATATTCACATGGGTATCCATAGCAGAAGATAAAGTTTTCTCCATCTAGGTAAGTCCTCCTAGGATTTACTAGGAGGTACAGGTACACTGGTATTGCCTGCTGTGGTGAAGAAAAAGGTTAACACAGAGGAGCATTATCCAAAGACTTGTCTTCTGTTGAAAATGTTTTGTATGTTCTTTAATAAAAAAACCACCACCACCAAAAAAGCCAACCAAAAGTCATTAGTGTGATTATTGGGAAAAATGTGTGAAGCACTTCTGGTGGTTAATAAATACTGAGCCACCAAAAAGCCAACCAAAAGTCATTAGTGTGATTATTGGGAAAAATGTGTGAAGCGCTTCTGGTGGTTAATAAATACTGAGCCACCTCTGAGCTCACTGCTGATTTGTGTTACATGGTTGGAATCTGTCCTCTGCTACATCTGGAACCTTTGGAGAAGTATGTTGCAGAAAAGTCAGCCAGGCTTGATTGAAAAATGACTTTCCAAAGTGCTTACAAAGGTCAATTGACATTTTAAAGTATTTGATATTACTGCTAAATGCTGGACTTTAACTGTATCTCATCTTCTTTGTTTCCTACAGATTTGGAATCAGTATTTTTCTGCAAAAGACACAGTTTATGCTGTTATTCCTGTAAGTAGTTCCTCTACAGTTCTGCACTTGAAAAGCCAGCACAAAAAGCTTTCCAACTGAGATTCTGTTGCTTTTAAAAGCAGTCATTAAAGGAAAGTGAGGTTTCAAGAACACACTTTCTTTCTGGGCTGAGTGATTTTATTGCCTCAAACAAAGGCTTTTGTTTTCAGAAATGCATACCCCTTTTTTTCCTCACTCAGAGGAGTCTCAATAAATCAAGGACCTTTTTCTGCACACCTGGCTGGAATTTCTAGGCTTATTTTAATGTAAGCATCCAACACTTTTTGCAAGGCCCTAATGTTTATTAAGTAGCATTTGTATTTTTAGAGTTGTTTTCCTCAGAGTTGCTTGTTTCTTTGCCCTCTTTCTCACAGCGCAGGTAGCTGCCTCGAGGTTAATGTGGCAGTCCTAGAGCACTTGGCTGGTAACTTGCATGTGGCTAATCACTTAGGACTTACTTTCATACATTAACAATTATTGGCAGCACCGTCTTTCTTGTGATTGCAGGGTGTTTCCTGAGATAAGATCATACTTCTTACTCCTGATAACTTTTCCAGATGTTAATTTGTTCTGAGTTTGCATTAGGCTGGAGCAGGCTTTTTTCACTTTGGGGATTTCTCTTTATTCTTTTCTTCAGAGATATTCTGTGATTTTGATCTCTTAAATCTGTCTTTTCACAGCTGTATGTTCCTTGAGTTCTTGAAAACTCATTTAGATCTGGGCTCTGATTTGTAATTGTTTTTGGCCCTTTGATCTGCAACTGAATTCAGAGGGAGGCAGTATTCTAAATGTGTGATGTGCTGTATGCTCCGAAAGTGGAAGTGTGGGATTTGAAGTCAACCAGCCTCATGTTTCAGTTTTCCCAACATGTGGATGTAGTGAAAATAGTTTAACTTGCACTTTTACTGTAGCAGAGGGCCAAAGCCAGGGACTCCAATTAAAATGATGTAGGTCTTTCATTAGTGGGGCTGGCACTGTGCTTTGGTGCACTGTTTTAGGAGGAGTGTTGGAAGCTTTTTAAGACTTCTATGCAAACCAGATCCCAGGCACATTAGGAAGCAATTCTTGGTGTCATCGAGGGGAAAAAATCCCTTTGTCTTTTGCCAGGAACTTTTTGTTGGCTGGAAGAAAGGCCTTTCATAATACTCCCATGCTCAAAAGTACATACAAAGGAATTTCTTGTTGAACGGCATGAGTTTTGTTTCCTGAACACCTAAGAGTAGATATTAATATAGTGTTGGGAAGCAAAAGAAAAAAATAGGCAAAAGATTTGGGGAAACATAGAGAATATGTGAATGAGATTGCCAGGTTTCATCAGGGCTGACCAAATAGGCTTGTGGTTTTAATTTAAATCTAAGCAATAAGTATGTTATTGAGTGGTATATGGGCTGCATTTTTATACTGAAGAACAGATGACAATGATGTAAATCCACAGTGTGGAGCCAGGAATGTCTCACTCAGCTGTTGACACTACATGATGCAGTGGAGCAATTACTGAAAGAGGATGTAATGTAAGCTTCAGGCTTGGGGCCCCCACATCCGAGGTATAAAGCTCTGGATCCAAGGATTTTGCTGCTGCATATTACAGACAGCCTTGTTAAAACAGGATGCTGATGACTTTTAGGTAAATAAGAACTAAATGTGGCTTTCCACACACTCATTGTCATCTGTCCCCGCAGTGGGACCTTCCCCAGATGGAAGCTGTACCCTCTAAAGGTTAATGAGGTGATTGTAAACAGCTCTGCATCCACGTTTGTATTGTGAAAATTGAACTTCTCTTTCTCCTTCCCTGAAGGCAGACAAGTTTGATTTGATGTGGAAGAGAGCCCAGAACTGTCCATCGGTATGTACAACAGTGCATGGTTATAGAGCTGAAATTCTTCTCTTCAAAGACTGATCCATTAACTTTTGACCCCCCTGTATTCATACCCTCTCCTGTGTTCATACCCATTGTATCAGCCTGGTTAGTAAAATCCAGGTGTTCAAACACTTGTCCTGGTGCTCAGATAAAGCCTATTCATATGTATGAAACAGTTTGATCTAGGGAGAAGAAATGGAGGGTTGAGAGAACAGCAGCACAGAATCACCCAGGGAATGGAGACTTTACTGGGTTGATGGATTAGCCCTACCTACTTCACTTGCCAAGAGCAAGATCAAATGTATCTGGCTTCCTGAGCTACTCGGAGGTTGGGAAGTTATTTATAGCCTGAAGTGCATTTCTGTACAGTGCACTGGTTTTCAGTCAGGTATCCTGCAAGATTTTCTGCTCTCATGTTGTCCTTGCCCTGTTGTGGGAAAATGAGCAAGTCTGTAGCCTGTGAAGCTGAATAGGCTGTAGATGTCTAGAGAGAATATGCTTGCTGCCTGATCTGGAGCAGCTGCTAAAATGACAGGATTAAATGCTCTGCTCCTTACCTTAAATTTGACCATTTCTGCTGTTAGATTTCTAGGTGAGAACAAAAAGTTCAGAGTCTGAATGTTCTCTACTCTCCTTTCCTTTTTATATCTCAAAACACTGATAAAAAGTATTTGTCAATATATTTGCTAATGAGTTAATACTGATAGGGTGATTCTGCTTTACTGTGTACATTGAGGTCTGTCACTTGTCCTGCTGTTCTGTCACTTGTGGTGGGGCAAAGAAACTGGTTTGGCTGTTGTGGTTCTCTCACTAAAGCATTAGTGCTGGAGGCCAGTGTGACACAGGCATAATTTTATACTAAAGGGAAAACTGGTTTGTTTTCTTTATCATCTCTCTCCAGTTTCTGTATGCTTTGCCAAGAAAAGAAGGCTATGAGTTCTTTGTGGGGCAGTGGTCTGGAACAGAATTACATTTCACTTCCCTGATAAATGTTCAGGTGAGTGTTTGAGATAAAAAGTTCAAAATTAACTTGGGATCCAGAAATATATAATATCAGCATATTGTAATAGATGGTATTTACTAAATAGTTTAGCCAACAGTTTTTCTCACTTAACTTGGAAAGAATTATCATGACAAAAGCTGTTATTAATTATGGTTTAATTGTACATTAGTTGCAGGTAAATTTGTAAAGTTATAGGTATTAAGTATCTCTCTAGTGTGGAGGAGAACAAGGTAGAAATTCAGTAGTCTCAAAACATGAGCAAGAACCAAGTTTTTTAGAACTGTTTGTGCAAGCTACTTAAAATAGTAGTAAGATGTAATATCTGTAAGATGTAATGTCTGTAAGATGAAATATCTTCCTAAAAACTGTGGGTTCTTTTAAGTGCAAAATGGTCCTTAGTCAGGGAAAAAAGAAATCTAGCTCTGCAAATCACTTGTTTTCTGTAAATACCAAGAATAATGAACTTCTGATTAGAACTGACCCTTAAGCCCTGGAAAGTAACTGCCTCTTCAGCAGTTAATGCTCAAAGTTTTGTAATCAAGCACCCAAATCTGCAGTGGAGTGAAGGTTTTTATGGGATACTGACAGGTTTCTTTCTCTCCTTCAGACTCAAGGTGAAACTGCTCCAAGTCAGTTGGTCTTGTACCATTATCCTGATGCAGAAGGAGAAAGGGATAGTACTAATGACAGCAGAAATGGACTCAAAGTTCTTGGTAAGAGAAGTCTGCTCACTGCCTTCCTTCATTTTATGCTGCAACTCGTCCTACAATTTTGAATTAAAATTGAATTACAGTGAAGCCTTTCAAAGACCCTTTGCCAAAGATTGGTCTCGCTGTCTTTCTTCAGCCTAATGTACTTAAGGCTAGGGAAAGCTGTAAAGGAGTTGGCAGTCTTTGGTGATTTCAGTTTATGAATTATTACTTTTTTTTTAATTTGGGTATTATAGTTGATCATTGTAAGAGAGCAAAGCTTCTGTTTTTCTTACCAACAGCAGCAAATTTAAATGAAAGCTGTTGCTACCTTGTCCTGGTTTAGGGCAAATAATATGTAACATATGTGTAACATACTATGTAACATAAACAGAACAGATGATTGGGGATACAAGCATCTTAAAGTCACTCCAGGACATACCTGCAAACAAGTTAAAACAGTGTTTTGAAGCTTAATCCTGTTTGTCAAAGTGGCACTGGGCACTGTAGTGGTGAAACAGGATGATTAAAATATCCCTTCTCTAACTGACCTCCTGACACCCCTTCTGAAACAATAAATAATTGGTAATGCTTTTCTTTTTCCCTGTTGGATCTCAGATCAAACAATCAATCTTTGCAACTAGGTCAGCTGTAAGAAGGGAAAAATGAGGACTTGGTGCATCTTGGAGTGGGCAGGGATCACAAAAGACACACTTGACCTCTGAGGCAGATGCACAGCAGGAGAGTTGCTAAAACACAAGGTGCTGAAGTGTTTAAGTAGGTCAGGAGCCACAGGGAGGTGGTTTGTTGAGAGATTTGCTGAACTAAAGTGACTTGGAGTTGAGCCACGTGGTGAGTGCACTGTGGCGTTTCTCTGCCAGTGGGACACTGGCACAGCCCCACCCTGATGGTGACAGCTCTGTTCTCACTCCCAGGTGGTCCATGATGCCCAGTGCTTGGCCAACCAGGTGCAGCTGTTCTATGCCACGGATCGCGCCGAGACCTACGGATTAGTGGAGACCTTCAACCACAGATCCAGTGAATTTAAATACATGTCAGTTATAGCAGAGCTTGAGCAAAGCGGGCTTGGAAGAGAACTGAGACCTGGGCAGGCTTCTGACAAGTCATAGAGCCTGGCCTGTGGTGAAAGGAGCCAGCAGCAGACCAGGGTGTCCTAGGAGGGGTGGTCCAGTGCCTTCTGTTTTACAATTTGGATTTGGCCACAGAAAGAGTCTGCAGACATCTTGGGAGAGTGACAGTCAAGCCTGTCTGGCACTGATGCAAGATGAGGACTTGGGCCATTTGAACAACAGTAACTAATTGCTAAAAAATGGAGCCCAGCACTTCATCAGAAATCAGATGTAATCAGTTACATCAAATGTAACTTCATCAGAAAGAGCCATTTTCCCTGTCCTGTAACTTCCTGCTGCCTGCTGGATTGTGGCGATCTGAAATAAAGTGACAGAAGGGGAACTCTGTAACGGGCTGTACTGACATCAGGAAAGAGATGACAACCAATGTTCTCAGTAAATGCCTTTTAAATACCCTCCACCATTATAATTGCATGGTTCAGTGCTTTTTAATCTGTGTGGAATTCATACAGGCTTGTCCATCAAGAAGAAAGAATAGGAGCAATGGTCTAAGACAGACACCTCTTTGTTTCTTTGTGAGGTTTCTTACACAGATGTATATTGTGGTCTGAGTTTTTCTCAGGATTAAAAAAACAGAGTCACTAGATTTGTTCTGGGAATTTTCTGCTTCTTAATTGATATATTAATTGTATCCTGTTGTGATGTTTCTGTCTTTGAGATGTTTTTGAGCAGTATGAATGGTTTTATTTTTTAGTGTATTTTTAATAGTGTAGAGGAATCATTGCCTGTTTTACAGGATTATTTTTTCTCAGGCTGGCATCTAGTCAGCCAACTCACAAATGACATTTGAAGGAACAAAAAATAACTCTTGTTCCCACTTCAGGAAAGGCACTATCCATAATAAAGGAAAGATGGACTGGCATAGTGACAAAGAGAGTCACCAGCCAGCTTCTTGTTTGTCAAGTGAAAGAAATGTCTTGGTATGAAGTCTCTGTCTATGGCAGAGCTGCTTTAACACAGCAGTGTTGGTAAGAGCCTGGCTTTACAGACTGCAGCAGACTGGGGGTGTAAAACCTGCCCCAAGTAAAAGAATCCCAAAACTGATGCTTTGAGCTTCTCTTGTGTTCATTCCCAGCAGAAGCAGGCAGCACATCCATGGCCAAGGACACTGCAGCAGTGTGATGCACAGCCTGTGGGGGTTACCAGCACTGCCACCACTGCACAGGGACACAGGACAGCCAGGAGCTTCCAGGAGCAACACTGAAATACTTCCCATGGCTATGTCTTCCCAGCACTAACTCTTCCTTAGCACTAATTATCTCTGGGCCACATTGCACCTTGTCAGCCTGCTGAAGCTGGCTGCTTCATTCCCTCCTTTGCCAGAGAGAAGGGGGTAAGAAGGATCTGCAGTTTGTCTCTCTGTTGGAGGACATGGCTGGTATTAATTTTCTTCAATAACCACAACCTGATAGGAAGCTGTGGTGAGTTAGGAAGGTTTCTTCTTGTTTCTTTTTCTTTTTTTGTGTAGTTGTAGGATCCTGCTGCTGGAATGCCCGCTGTCACTCTGTACTTCCTCAGCCCATTCTTTGCACTACATGTCCTTAGAAAGATCCTTTCCAACCCAGCCCATTCTCTGATTTTATGACGTGAAAACTTCAGCTGAGCACTAAAGTTACACAGTGCAGTTTTATGTTGAGGTCTATTTTACCACCAACTCTTGGATGTGTGAACTCCTGTCCATTCAGAAAATTGCAGAGTGTTTCTAGAGGAGGCAGATCTTTTCTTGGGGCCTTGCTGAAAGGAGATGGTTTTGCTCCCTGGTAATGTCTTTTGGTTTCTGTTCACTGAGTGTGTACAGAGCAGTCTGCAGAGCAGGGGAGTAATCAATCAGTGAAGGCATGGATAAGGCTGTGATAATCTGAACAGAAAATCACCTTTATTAAAAGGTATTTCTACTTCTGGTTTATAGTGTTCATGCTCCATTTATCATTTTTCCTTAGTTGATAGAAGGGCTGTTTTGATTAATTATTCACTTCCTACTTTGGAGAAGTCGAAGTTTCTGCATTCATTTTTAATGTAGCTATAATGTAACATCCCTGAGAGTGAAATCCAAGGCCTCCAAATCTACACCTCAGCTTCTTTCTGAGCATAAAAGACCATATTCTCAGGTATAAGGCTGTAGTGATCACTACCTGCAATTTTGAGTGGTGTTTTTTTCAACCCACCATGTGATTTTTTCCTAAAATAAGAACTTCTCTGAGGCTTTAGAAAAGGCAGAAGTGGCCAGTGATAAGCCTGAAACTGGGATGAAGACCCATAATAAAAAGGTCCAACAGAATTTGTGCATGACCTGTGCTGCCTGGCACAGCCATGGCACAGGCTGACCACGGGCGTGGATGGGCACTACAAGCTGCAGAGTGGACACAGACCCCCGCGGCTGTCTGCCTTTCTGCAAATCAGCAGCTGTGCCAGTTTCAAGCCACTCACACAGAATTTTAAAGATTTGATGCCCTTAGGATCTGTGCTGAAACTTAGGGCTGGTGAAAAATAATGCTGTTAGGCTTGGCATGAGGAGAGAGGTAACAGGGCGAGAAGGTGACTGTGGAATTAATGTGCCATGCAGCCACTAGAGGGAAGGTTTGCCTCCTGATTCTGAGCTCTGAGCACACACACAGCTTGCCCGAGCCTGTCTGCTCAGCTTTGTGAACTTGGTGAGCTGAGGACTGTAGAGATGCTCAGGCTGCTCCTGTATGGTCCATAACGAGCTGGGCTGTGCTGAGTTCAGCTCATGGGTTCACCAGCCCCGTGTCCTAGATCCCACCTGAGCTGCCTCAGGAAGGGAAAACATCCTGAAGTAGTTTCCCAGCATGTTTTACTGATTGCCAGTCTTTTTTATGGGCCAGGATCTTCCTGAGATGGATGTGTCTGGTTTTAGTAGCCATCAAATGGGCACATTCAGGGAGAAGAAGCCCAGGACTCCCGGTGGCCCCATGTAAGCTTCAGCCCCTGCAGCATCCTGCAGCAAGGACTTGCTGGCTGAAGCAGGTGCTGTAGGAGCCCCCTGAGAGCTGGCTGTGCTCTGCCTCCAGCTGTAGGAGAGCCCAGGACCAGGATGTGGCAGGAATTCCTGCTAGGAGTGGTGGAGTGAGTTTCGTAGGCAGAGGCTCTTTGTTACCAGCATCTCAAACCTCTGGCTTGCCCACCGGCCCCTGTCACCCTGGGGAGATAAACCCAGAGCCCATCCTGCTCCCAAGGGAGGACGGTGGCAGTCGAAGCAATTAAGGAAGTGCAGACTGTCGGGATGACATTCTTATCCTTCCTTAAAATGATGACTCCAGTGCTTTTTCATCTGTGCCTGGCTTTTTTCCCTGTGCCCTAGAAAATGGCAAGACTCCAGTGCCCTCTGATCCATGGCGGAAGAAGCTCTCACTCCCTGTCTCTGAGTTTGGGACATGATGGAGCAGAGCAGGGGAACTGAGTGTTCCCGACACTGCATAGCTGAGGCAGACTTTTCTGGAGACGTCCTGTTCCTCTCTGGGAATAGCCAGAGCAAACCCACTGCTCCTTTGGCTTTGTCTTCTGGTCTGCACAGGCATTCACAGCCTTCGAGCCCTGCCTGGGAACATGCATCTCCCGGGCTGCTGAAGGGCTGTGCGAGAGCCCAGCGCAGTGCTGGGGGCTGGCAGGGGGCTCTCCCACCCTCCCCCCGGTGCAGCCATGTCCTGACAAGCCTTGCGAAGCTGCTTCGCCGTCCTGGGCCTCTTCCCGTGGCTGCCCGTGAGCTCCGATGGAGCCGCCCAGTGCTCCAGGCTCGCTTCCGTCCCTGCTTCCTTCCCCCGATAAATCCAGCCATGCACCTGCCTCCAGGAGAGAGGCCAGCATTCCCCTCTTCCTTCCTCCAGGGCAGCCAAATGCCCTCTTCACAATAGCACATCCCTCCTTCCCCAAACCTGTCCCTCGGACCTCTTCCTCTCTCCCAAGTGGCTCCTGCTCCCCCTCCCCACAGCTGGGATACCGGGTGGCTCTGGACCATGGGCTCCCCGCTCTGTGAAGTTTCCAAAACCTCACGGGAGGGGAAGATCCCTGAGCAGTAGGGACTGTCCACCCGTGGACTTGTGGGGCTACAGCTGATGTAATTCCAGCCCTCCTGGTGTTCTCCTGGCCCCTCTCCTTTGGCTCCAGACCGCTGAGGGTGGGAGGACCCCACCTCGCCTCCAAGTATTTTGGCTCCATCGTGCCTGGATGTAAATCCTGGCTATGCGTTGCCTTTGGGATCTTTGCTATTTGGCCAAGCCCCCTCAGTTTTGGATTTCTGCCCATTTTCTGCAGGGATTTCAGCTGAAAGTTTCCTCCTGGCTTGGCATTTGCTGTTGAGAGTTACATCTGCTCCACAGACCTCCACCTCCCTCTCACAAAGTCTGAGGACATTTTGTTGTTTCCTGCATCCCAGGTCCCCAGGAGGATGAGCAGCATTGCTCAGCCCTTGCTGGGACTTGGGGTGGCTGTTATGAGCACCCAGCACCAGGGATGAGAAAAGACTTCACCTGAACCTGCTGGAGTCAGGAATGTAGCTGATTTGCCAGTGACCAAGAAGAGTCTGCTGGATTACTTGAGCTTGATCCTGATTTTAGGGGTGTTACTTTGACCTGAGACTATCTGCAATGACTGTGAGAGATTCACTCATGATCAGGGCAAGGCTCTGAGAGGGCTCAGCCTGCAGGTCCAGGGAGGATGCACACACAGAGTTGAGCTCTGATGGATCCTGCATGTCCTTGGTGAGTCCTCCTGTCTCCTGGTTCAGGACCTGCCCTTCAGCCATGTCCTAAATGGGGACAGGCAGAAAAGCAAGGGGCTTCTGGGGTTTGCAAGCTCCAGTTCCCTTCAGGCCCAGTCAAAAGTGATCCACCAGTTGCTTCTGCCTGATTAAATACGCCCTATGGTGACTTCTTCACTTTGAATAAAATGCCTCTGCAGGTGCCAAAGAGTTTCTGTTGCACCTGCACCAAACCAACCTCACAGAGAGACAGAGGAAAGGAGAGTAAATGCCTCACAGGGCTGGGCTTACCTTCCTCAGGGCTGGCTGGTCTGAGAGGCCGCTGGATGGATTTATTTTTAAAGACTGCCTCTGAACATTGTGCCTCAAGAGCAAACCCTGGCATCACCTGCAGCTGAGAAGCCGTGCTCTGGGTAAGGGATCCTGCAGAGACACATCCTGCTGGATGCACAGGCTGCACGGGTTTGGGAGATACATCCACGGCTGCAGCCCCAGGGGATGCCAGGCAGGTTCAGGGAATCCTAAACCCTCCAGCTTTATGCAAACGTGCCCATCAGCCACATCCTCCCTGCTCTGTGCCCCTCTGCCCAGCTCGCCCCATCACCTGCAAACGCTTGGCTTGGCCTGAGTTTATCACACATGTAAGAAAGGCTAGAAAAGTTTCCCTCACTACGACTGTCCCGGTGCCAAGCAGTTTGCAGACGCTTCGGTAAGGCCGAAGATGTGTGAGCATCACACATCTCATCCCCTGGGAGCGACACGGCACCGTGCCAGGAAGGGAACCGTGAGTGCCAGGGCTCTGCTCCCCCTGCTGCGACAGCCACCAGCATCACCCGTGCGGTGCACAGCGGCGTTCCCCCCCAGCCTTTTGGGGACTCTGACCCCAGAGCAGATCCCGGCTCCTGCCAAGCCATCCCACGCTGCCTGGCCGCTCCTGCCGGCGCCGAGCGTGCTGGCTCGGGCTTGTCTTTGCTGAGCAGGATTTAAATACGGCAGCGCGCTTCAGAACCCACCCCACCTCCACAGACACGGAAAGTAAGTGCTCTGTGAAGAGAAAGTTTTTCTCTTTCTTTCTTTCTTTCTTTTCCCCTCTGTGGCATTTCTGTTTTGGATGGCATCCAGCTAGGCCTGGCATGGAAACCCCCGGCTGTTTTTTGTGTGTGTGCAGAGCGGGGAAGGATGAAGGGAGAGGGACTGTGAAAAGATGGGGGGAGGAGGGGAAAACACTTCGGGATTTCATCTCCCTTCCTCAGCTCCCTGCTGTCCCGTGAAAGCCGGAGCCAGCCAGCGGCACGGCCCCGCACGCCAAGAAGGATCTCAGCATCCAGGAA